TTGCAATGCATGGTTTTTCGCGTATGATGTGCATAGAATCACATTGAATGGTGTCGACGTACAAAAAGCTTCATTTAAAAATGCAAGAAGTGAATAACAATTTATATTTCGTGATTATTCATTCATAATAAATAGCCATATATATTAAAATGTGATACATGGACATATCGTCAATGTAGCTAACAGGTCACTGTAGTAACACTCTATCGGGTCTGCCTTCCATGTGGTTTTGCTTATCTTTAAACATTTGAAGACATAATCACACAATCGATTTATGCGAAACAACTCTTTTGTGATAGATATGAAAGAACGCTTAGTCACAAATGCCGTTCGATTTGCATTGCCCCATTATATTGCAAAAGACCATTATGAAGTCTAGCTTGAAATTCTAATCAACATTATCTGAGATGATAATCTCGCTTAGTACATCTGTTACACGTAAGGTCTGTTTTGAATATCGGCTCAGATAATGTTGATTGGAATTTCAATCTAAACTTCATAATGGTCTTCTGCGATGTAATGGGGCAATGCAAATCGAACGGCATTTGTGACCTAAGCGCTCTTTCACACCTATCACAAAAGAATTGTTTCGCAGAAATCGATTGGTGTGATTATGTCTTCAAATGTTTAAAGATAAGCAAAACCACATGAAAGACAGGCCCAATAGAGTGTCACTACAGTGGCTCGTTAACTACATTGACGGTATGTCCATGTATCACATTTTAATATATATGGCTATTTATTATGAATGGATAATCACGAAATGTAAATTGTGACCGAAATTTTATTTCTTGCACTTTTAAATGAAGCTTTGGTACGTCGACACCATTCAATGTGATTCTGTACACATCATACGCAAAAGACCATGCATTGCAAGTTGGTCAATGAACATTTTAAGAAGACGAGAAGCAATAGAAATTTTTACCGATGGTTTCGGGATTTGGGATGTTGTAGAACTATTTGTTGATGCACAACGTGATGATAGCTCAAGAGAAAACGAAGACAGTGACATTAAGGTAAAGAGGATGGCACGCACTTATTTGCATTGTTTTATATTTTAATCAAATCAATGTTTTGAACCAATTAATATTATCTTACTTATCGCATGATTATCATAGCTTATTTATCACATATATCCACCATAGTTATCACATGATTTTCATAAAGTAACAAATTAAATCACTACTTTTCAAATACCTTCACATGTCATTTGTTTGTGGGTTTGTGTAGAGATATTTAGATAAGGTCGAACACACCTTCAATAAGTTGAAGACAGTGATGAGTGATTTCGACGAGATTTTAGAAGGTCAGGACTAATTACCCTGCCTCCGTGGAATTCAAAGTATGACAAAAAAAGATAATAGACTTGATAGTAACTGACAAGATAGACTGTGATGCCTCAAATTGGGATATTTATCACTTGTGATAAACATCAAAATTCTCAATTACTAAACTACTGGGTTCGACAACATCAAGATTCCCAAGCTACATATTACTACTACATTAAACTCAAATCAACATGTACGACAACTATAATCTAATAAAAAATTTAACAGTCACAATTCCATGTACCTTTTATCACATGTGATAAAAAACACATATCATCATAGGCACGATCACAACCAATTCAAAAAAAAACTATATAATTTTATTGTTATCACACTATTATCGTACCTTTATCACCATTATCATAATTGTCTCTAAAAAACAATCTTCAGAAAAGCCCTCGGAATCGTCGTTCGAATAACTCGATCACGTACAAGCTTCCTTACCTACAGCATTCGAATCCTCTATTCTACATCGGAAAAAAAATACTATGAACCTTCAGGTATGATGGGAAGAAAATGATAGAAGAAAGTGATACACATTCAGTTGAACGTGATCAATCCCAAGCAAAAAGGATGGGGTAATTTTAAATAATTAAAGTAAAAATTATAAAAAATACCTAATTATATTACTTGCCTTATTGACTTATTTGTATTTACTATAGTTTAAATTATTGATTAAAAAAAAGTTTAAGGTTAGTAGATTGTTCTCGCATTCTAGTAAATCACAGGGGTTCTCATTTGAACCTCCACCTATATATATATATATATATATTGAATTTATATAATGATCTATAAATAAAGTTACATTATATATAGAAAATGGAAAGTGATGTTTTTGTAGGAACCTCATTGTGGAGTTTTATTTTCTTGTTTTGTTGATTTGATAGGGAAAATTATAGAAATTGAGGTTTTTAGAGGTTCCACCACTGTGGATGCTCTAGGCCACCTTGATAGAAAAGATAAGAAATTTAATCCCCAAGGAAAAAATAAATAAAATGGATTGTTCTCCGATAAGATCCTCTCATCCCCGGCCCTCATTTCGCACTCCATCCCCCGCGGACTTCATCTCTACTCATTGCTTGTACCATCTTATTCGCGAGCTCTTACTTACTGGCATTGAAACCCATCTCCCCTATCGATGGGAATTTGGGCAGTTCTTGAAGAAGAAATAGTATGAACAATGAGATTTTTGTCTTAGATTGATGACCAAAAATTTCTCATTTGCTCGTGCTCTTCCTGATCAATTACTACATGATTCATATTTTCTTGAGTAATCTCTTGCACACACTTTTTAATGCCTACAGTGGCTGAAATATTTTCAGTTTGAGTAGAGATTTGTGACTCAGAAAGAGGTTAAAGATAGAACCCTTAGCCGGATCCAATGACTATTAAAACAAATCTAAACAAACTATAGGATGTTTAGAGATTTTACCTTTCAAATTTGTCTGGGTTTTGACGGAGCATCTTAGAAATTAAAGTAGATTTCTTGTACGTGAATCCACACAAGAACATGCTACTATCTTCCACCAGGTGCTAGCCCAAAACCCAAGATGAACGACAAAGAAAGAAGAAAGCAAGAGTTTGAATTCAACCAAGAAAACAGATCAATCTTGCTCTTTAAGTTCTGTATTCTATAATTAAGATAATTACCCCATACTCCTAACCTAAAATTCAGAAAAAAGTATAGAACAAAATCCAAGCTCCATAGAAGCAATTGATGGGTTTTCTTGAATGAGTACTAAAAGAGAAAAGCTTTCAAAATCCAAGCTCCGCAAAAGCAAATGAGTGGTTGTTTTCTTCTTTACATTGTTTGCAGACAATTTTGTTGTGAGAGAGGGTAATCGAGTGAGGCTAATGAAACTATTTGCAAATGGGATTGAAAGATTTGGGTTTGGGAAGAAGAGGGGAAGCTTGGTGGATAAGACTTGCTGCTGTAGATTGCTGCCGCAGAAGTGTTGTCGGAGATAAGGAGCCAAGAGGAGGGTAGTGAGAAGAGGGGTACGGGAAATTTTTTTAATTGTTTAATATTTAAAATACAAAATAATATATATATATATATATATATATATACACTAGAAGTGTACTCGCGCAATGCAGCGAGATACATCGTGATTTTAATATTTAATTTTATTATTTATCTCAGYYGATGTTATAATATGGTTTTATGTGATTTTGAGAAAACGATGGTGTTTTTATTTTTGAATAAAATATATGTTTGAAGATATCATAAAAATTTGACAAAAATATATCGATATTAGTATCAAATTAACTATTTGAAATTCCTCATTTCTTGTGTAATTTTTTAATTCAATTTTTTAATAATTTAATTTATATACAATAATGAAATAATTTATTTTTGGTTTAATAATATAATATTTTATAAAGATAATAATTATTTATTTTGTTGGAACTCGATAATTATTCTAATTATATTTTAGATTTTTTATATTTTAAAATGAGATAATAATTAAGTATTCTGTTAGAACTTAATGATTATCCTAATTATATTTTAGATTTTTTATATTTAAAATGAGATGTTTATCCTGTATTTGATTGTGTTTATTTGCAGTTAATTACACGAATTCAGATATGGGATGAAATCGGATAGAAATGAACGGGTTTAAGAGTTTTTAAGAGTTTAAGAGTTTTAAGAGTTTTTAAAAGTTTTAGTCAAATGCTTTATAATATAGTATAGATATATATATCTTTATAAAATATATTTTTTTAATTGAAAATAAAAGTAAAGGTAAAATGACCAAATTTCTCCTGATTTAATGGATCTTTATACGAAGTCAGTCAAGGAACGACAACAACAACAAATTGCGAACCACAATAACGAAAAAACTAATTTCAAAACCACAGTGACAAAAAAAAGTAATTTTGAAACCGCAGGGACGGAAGTATCAATTTTTGACAAACTACAGTGAGGAAGGATCAAATGATCAATACAGTGAGGAAAAAGTCGATTTTTAACAAACCACAGTGACGAAAGTATCGATTTTTGACAAACCACAGTGACGAAAGTATCGATTTTTGACAAACCACAGAAACAAAAAAGGTACTCTACTCTAAAAAATCTTATATCTTGCATTCTTGGCCGTTTACCAAACACTTACCCGGTAAATGCTTACCAGTAAAATTTAACACTATTATTTACTTGGCGGGTAAAATTTTAGTCCACCAAAACGACATCATATGAAACAATTTACCCAGTAAGCGCTTACCGTGGTAAGAGTCGTCGCCCTCACTTACCGGGTAAGACTCTTGGTCTTTGTCTCGCTCTTACCGTGTAAGATTTTTGGTCCTTATCATATTCATCCGGTGAGGTAATGTTACTTGGTAAGCGCTTACCTGGGTAAGCATTTGGTAAACGGCCCCTAAATAAATTTAAAAAGAAATTACATAAAAAGTTCCCAGAAATGATGTGGTTATACATTGAACTTGATCAATTTATCCTTGATGAACATATGAATATTTGTCAAAACTATAACATGGAGAAATATCCTGTTCTATGAAAACGTGTGAAATTTGAAAGCGCCAAATTTTAAAAAATTGGCCTAAACATGGCACGGAATTAAATTATTGGGTAGAAATTGAATTCCTTAACTAAATAGGTACCTTAAATGATAGAGAAAATCTCTCCTTAATATTATATTCAATGCCTTTCTAAATATCTTGCATTAAAGATGAAACTATCTTGAAAAATAAAACTAAGGGAGCGTAAGATTGCACATTGTGTTTTCTTCAAAACTAGAGATATAATCAATTCATCACCCATTATATTTGCTTAATTATGTCCTAGTTTTAATCCATGCAATGATTGTTTCCATTTATATCAGATCTCATGCATTTAACTCTCTCTTTATTTAAACAGGCATGATTTCCATCTCATCTCCAGATTGCTCTCCATCTGTTTGAATAATGGAAGAGCATAAAACAGAGCCATGTCCGTCTGAGGCTTCCAGCATATCGGCAGAAGGAGAAAGCTTGAAGAATAAGACGTTGGATAGCAAAGTCTTAGCAGAGGGTTCCAGGGCTTTCCTTGATGTCAAACTCTCAAATGTAGAAGAAGATAAGAATTTAGAGCTCAAGCTGTTTAACCCCTTAAGGGTGGCGCCAGAGGGGGAAAGTGAGTCTTCGAAGGAGGAAACTCAAGAAAAGTCTAGGGTTTTCTCTTGCAACTACTGCAAGAGAAAGTTTTCAACCTCTCAAGCCCTAGGAGGTCACCAAAATGCCCATAAACAGGAGCGGCAAATTGCTAAAAGACGGCAGATGGAGGTTCCGCCTTATGGCCACCTAGTGCCACCACCACCACATTATGGCAATTTTACCTACTACCCTTCGTTCCCATATTTGACTAATGCCTCAGTCAGCACCAATAGGTCATCACTCGGGATTAATAATGAATCATTCATCCAAAGACCCTCTTCCTGGTCAACCTCACAGCTTAATTATCCGTTTGCCACAGTAGGGCATCATGACCAATTCACCATGAGATTACCCTATTTTGATAGGCCAAAGATGTTGGAGAGTTTTCAAAGAAACAGCACAACCAGTAGTGGCTATTATGGTTCTCCGCTAGGAGCAACAGCTTCTTCCTCTTCTAAATTAGACAGTGGCACAGGAGTGGCTCGCGATTTTTTTGGAGTTTCTTGTGGAAATGGCAATCCAAGTGCTACACTTAACAAGGGAATTGAAGAAGAAATTAGTGCCAATAATCTTTTGGCACAGATAGGTGTGGTTCATCCTGAACACAATCAAGATGAATCCACTGTGGGTCTTGATTTAAATCTCAAACTTTAATCATTATTATTGTCTTCAAAAGGTAGACATGTAAGACAACGGCGACGAGGAAAACATGATTTGTGCAGAGAGAGATACCTTCATATTACAGGAAAAGGCTTGAAAAATATCCATGGAAAATCATTGTTTAATGTATTTGTGTTTTAATTAATTTATGATTTTTCTATAATATCAATCAGGAGTCTGAACTGGAGAGATGTTGAGGTCTAAATATGGCTGCATGTACTGGAAATTCTATAATCCCTAATTCCCTATTAAACCCATCTAGTTTTTGGCAAATGCATACCAGTAGTCAAATGCCGAGTTTTATTTCTGAAGATCTATTGGAGATTGATGAATATGGCCTGGAAGAACCAGTGTGTGGCAGACTAATCTAAGAATGGGGGTGTCCAAGCTGTGAAGAAGGGGCATGTAACAGGCCATCACTGATCCCAGGTGGGTCTTATTGAGTTTATAACAACATTAAAGATATTTTTGAAAAGATTGCATCTCATGTTGAAGAGAACCTCTTGTTTCTTACGTTAGGAATGCGGGTATGGTATTTTTGTCAAAATGGTCCCATATATATGATGATATGTATGCAAGTGATTTCTGAAACTTATGATGTTTTTAGAGAATGTTTGTAGGCTGTGAAATGATGGATTAGTCAAGATTTTGGAAGAGTGGAATAAGGGAATTGTGAAGTTTCTTGATTGAAATCCCAGCTGCTACTTTTAAGTTTTAAGGTTGAACAAGAACGTGTGGATAGGGGAATAATGGGTAAGATTTTGGATAAAAGTGGGATGGAATGGACCGGTAAGTGTATAGTCCAACATGCTGCTGGCCTTTCCATGGCCGCTCTACCCATTGCAGCAAGTTTGGATTTCTGAGTATTTGAGTGATTTAAAAGAGAAAGGAGTGTGCAGATTCTAATTTTACAGCATAGATGGTGCAAAGGCAGGCATCATGGAGAAGGGTTGTGGGGTTGGCAATTTCCGCTGGGATAAGTAGACCAGAAATGTGGGCAAGTCTTGCCTATTTTGATACCTATAGATGCTCTAGGCTGCCCGTAAATCTTGTTCAAGCTCAAGGGGACTTTTTGGGGGCTCATTGATGCACAATGAAGCAAGAACACACACACTGTTTACCCACACTATGAGAGAAAAACATATTATTAGTCAAATACCTCGAGGTTACAAAATTTGGGAGCACACCCATATTTGGCATGTGGCCAAAAATTACGAAATTCAAAAATAAAAATAAAACATAAGTGATTCTTGCCTAAATAAAGAGGAAGATCAAAAAATGTTGATTTCATGCAATCTGTTTATTTTAACTTTAATAAATAAAAGCCGAAAATCATGATAAAAAAATCTTCAAATCAGCTTCAGGGACCGAATGAAGAACTTCGGGCTAAAAGTTGGGCCAAACCGCCATAGGAGTCTCTGTTTCTAGCTCAGAGTCTCAAATGGGGAGATCATAGGAGTATAAAGACTTTTTACATACATATATATATATATATATGTATCTCCCACCCGTGAATCGCATTTGATACGGGGATTGATCCGGTGCATCTCGTCCTGATGTGCATCCAAGGTGGAGATCCCTTCTTACGCTTCTCACCTTAACTCTCCTTCTCACCAGAACCCAACTCTCTCTCTCTCTCTCTCTATATATATATATACATATATCAAACACAAATAAAGATAGGATTGAAGACGAGGATCTCTTATGTAGAGCTGCAGAACTTGATGGGGATGCCCTTTTGGACTAGAATTCAAGGCATCACAATAGAGGTAATATATTTTAAATGTTTGTTATATTAAATTTTACTACGCTCATCATATAAGCCCCATCCTCTAGCCAGCACTATTGCTACACCTGAATATGCTAACCAACCAAGTACATGTCTTAGTGCCTTAAGATCCAACTAGTTCCAGCAACCATCAACAATTAACATCGTGTACTGCATGACGTTGGCAATACTTTGTGCATAAATTTAACATGAAAAAGTTTCTAAATATGCCTGTATACATGTATATATCATACATACTCCCAGAACTATTATTTCAGACTTTTAGTGAACTCGTGCATCCAAACGGCTTTATCTTCTAACGGATGTCCAAAGATTAACGCAAAAAAGTCCAAAAAATAAATAAAGTGAAACAGTGCTGATTACTTCGAGAGGTGTGCAGATTCAAGGCAGTATGACCTAAAATAACTTGTAAACTAAAAACAAGTGTAATAAGAGCAACATATCCTTAATGCTCAGTTGCTCACTAATCCCGATTCCGAAGGCGAAACATAATTTGAGATTGAGATTGAACAAACGAAAACAAAATCCTATAAAATGAGCAAATTCTCTAAGAAATTAAGAACAAAACAGGATTACGTAACTGAAAACAACATAGATTGATTAATCAAGCATTTTAACATAAAATAAACTCCAATTGCAGTATATATGATTCCAAAAGAGGGTTAGAATTCATACCATGGTGGAAAGGGTGAAATCGACCGGAGCAGGGGCTGAGCGATCATTCAGTCTCCAAACTTGCTTCCCAGGTGGGTTTCTGTGTGTTCATCAGAAACCCACACATATATCAGATGACTTGTTTCTAGGGTTTTTGGCGATTCGATGGATAAATTCATTAAATGCGGATCATCGGCTTTATAACAACCCGTCCAAAACCATCAATGTACCTGGTGTGAATTTGAGGCCGGGTTGGGGTTTGCCTGTTAATTCATTAACATTTTTCCAATTAAACGCTTTTTTCTACAAATAGATATTGTATTTAAATTAATGTTTATATTATTATTTTAAGTTATTACTTTTTATTTTATTTGAGACAATTTGTTTCTCTTAAATCAAAAATAAAAAAAAAATTGTTGATTAAAAAGTGTAATATTATATATTCTTAGTATTATTTCTTTTTTATTATGAAGATTTATTTTAAATCTAATGCTTTCAATTATGTCATATGATCTAATATTTCTTGACTAGCTGTAATTTTGTTTTGTTTTATTATACGTTTTTTATTAACTTGGATATCCAACCCAGTATGCGAGTCGACTAATTTCAGGACGACCACCTGCTTTGCAGATAGTCCAGAGTCATCGTATTTGAACCTCCATGGATACAAGGGGATTTTTATTCCTACTTGGATTTGAACCTGAGACCTCCTGGTACCTTTGACCTTTGGAGTCAAGCTCAAACCAATCAGGCACCACCCTTGTGGTTTTATCCGTTGTTTTATTTTGCATAAATTTTGAAAAACTATTATAAGATCATGTTTGTAGTTTACCTAAACATCGATTTGTCTCTTCTACCGGTTGCTAACTGATGATGTTAACTTTAGAAAACTTTAAGTATTATAAAATTAAAAAGTCAGGAATCGTCTAATTCATCTATGTAGATAGTTTGTTTTAAAGACCCAATCTAAAATTTAATTAAACCAGAATAACCAATTTAATTCACTGTAATATATATTCTTCGAGTATGGCTTATTTGTTTACCTCTTAATAGTTCCATGAAAAGACAGCATCTGAATCGTTAAAAAGTGAATCTTGCTTCGCAAAAAAAAATATGTCTTTTAATTGTTCAAAAACCCTCTGAATAACTTTATATCATGTGTCTCCCTTAGTCATTCAACGTCCTAATTTCATCGTAAACAATTATGTTTTATTTTACATCATATCATAAGAATCTCTTAATCATTTTAACCATTTAATCATTCAGCACCAAACAATTCAACAACTATCAAACAAACCCTTAAAGCTTATGTGTTAAATTGTATTGAATATAATTTTGAAAACAAGTTATTTTAAAATATGCTGAAACAGATCGGAGTTGTCAAAATCCAAAAGATTATAATTACTTCAATTATTAGGCCTAAGAGATTTAAAAATACTAATATTATATAATACTAGAAGAGTACTCGCGAAATGCAGCGAGATACATCGTGTTTTTAATATTTTATTTTATTCTTTATCTCAATCGATGTTATAATATGACTTTATGTGATTTTGAGAAAGCGATGATGTTTTTATTTTTGAATAAAATATATGTTTGACGATATCATAAAAATTTGACAAAAATATATCGATATTA